TAGACAGTGCGCTGTTTCGTTGTGGTGCTTTCTTCTCGAGTTACGGCGTGATGTGGCACGTAGTAACCCTCGTTAGATGGTGATTTGCTTAAGCTCATGTGGTTGCACTCAAGATAATTCAACATATCGGCTTTATATCGTTCATAGTAAGTTGCATCCTTTTCAAATTTCTTTTCTAAGTGAAAAAAACGTCGTAATGCCATCTTACGAGAGTCACCGAGAAAGTTTTCATTATTGCGATCCATGTTAAATGGGAGAGACACTTGCACTTGGCCACTTGGCAATCGAATCGTCGTTTCATTGCACAACTTTACGCATTTCTCATGTTCTTCGCTCATGATTGGCTTTAAATTCACTTCTTCACTCTCCCAGAAACGTTTCAATGCTATATTTAAATCTTCATTGTCATCGTTATCATTTGTGTTCGCCAAGCGAGTTGTATGGATGCGAACGCTGTATTCTTTTGCTTTGCATGCAGCGCCGAATACAAGCCAGCCGAACGACGAATTTTGTGCTACTGGTTCGTGTAATTTGCCCTTCTTTAAACCATTTTCAACGATAATGCCGTAAATGTCCACACCAAACAGAATGTCAACCGCATTTGCTTGCATATACTCAGGATCTGCGAGTTGCAAACCGTTCAAATGTTTCCATTTATTGTGTTTTTCAAACTGTGGGCCGGCTGACATGATTGACCGCATTACAAGTGCTTCCATTGATATGACGAAATCGCTGTTTACTGCAGATTGCACTTGAATTCGGATTGATTTTGTTGCTTTTCCGAGTGGTTTATCATCAATTCCGAGCAATGGGACATTTGCCTTCTTGCGTGGAAGACGTAGAATTTGAACGGCTCTTTCGGACACAACAATTCCCTGTGACCCTTGATCGATCAACGCACGGAATAAATGATAGACCCCAGATTTATCTTGCACTTTCACAATGGCGGTCGCTAATAATTTTTGATTGGGCATAGATAAATCATTGACAGCACTTACGCGTTGGCTTGTTGTTACGACTTCTTCATGTAACTTTGTGCTGTGGAGACCATTGCATTTTTTGCAGCGAAACTTGGACTTACAATGTTCAATTTCATGTTTTTTCAAGCACACAACGCAAAGACCTTTTTCTATAACAAATTGCTTTCTTTGGGTGACGTTCCATGCGTTGAACGTGTCACAGAACAAAACATAATGCTCGCCCTTGCAAACTTCACATACATCTTTCTTGTTGATCGTATTTGGTACTCTTGTTGAGTGGAATTTCTGTGATGTTGCTTGTGAATTGCATGACATTTCTATTGGCGCTTTCATTATTCTATATTGAGTTTCGAGGAACTCCAACATTGTTGAATATTCGGGAATTTCTTTGGAGCCGCTGAGTTTTTTCTCCCAATCAATTGCTGTGTCTCTGTCCAATTTCGTTTGCAACACATAAACAATGAACGGATCCCAATCATCGATGCTCACATCGAGTGATTCTATGCATTGGAGAGACTCTTTTGTGGTATCAATCAAATTGCGAATGCTGCTTGCATTTTGTGTTTTAATGCTATCTTGGAAAATGAACGATTTCAAGCAGTTGTTCACAATTGCGCGTTTGTTATGATATTGTTCTTGCAGTATTTTCCAGGCGATTTCATAATTAACGTCGGAAGCAGGCAATTTGCTTATAGACCGAAACGCTTCGCCCTTTAAACTATCGCGCAAATAGTGCATTTTGCTTATTTTTGGTATTTTTTCATTTTGGTCGACAAGCGAAGAGAATGTGTCATAAAATGTAGTCCATTCCAATGCCTTTGAACCATCGAACTTTGGAATTGAAATCGTGGGTAACTTCACTTCTGAAGTTGTTGTGATGCTACGTGTTGCCATAGTCGAGCTTAACGATATTGTGTCGTTCGAATTTTCACCTAATGTGTCTTTAATCAATCCTATTGCCTTAATAAATGCTTCGGTTACATCTTCACTGTCGACCTCTAAATGGTCTGGATCATAATCATCATGATCTTCTATTTTTTCGATAATTGCCTCATATTTTTCATGCGTACCTTCAAGTTGTTTCATCCGAGTTGCTGCCATATTTGGCGTGGTTCCTTCTTTCATTTTTTCGGCATGACTCAAAATCGAACGGACCAGGTTGTCACGTTTAAGCAAGAGTTTTTTGTATTCTTTCGATGTGTTTTCAGTCGACTTTTTTGGAGCCATATTGCTAGGTTTGAGATTAATTGCTATGTGATTCAATTATTTTGATGCTAAAAGAGTGCTGTTTACCAAATGCTGTAAGCGAATGCGAGTGCGAGTGCGAAAAAGAAAAAATGCGGTGCGATGAAAATTTTAATCTCAACGAGTACCGAAAATAATTTGGAGCGCAATTCCAATTCTATTGCCCAGAAAATTCGATGCTAAATGCTAAGTAAATGCGATTTTTTGCTATGCGAAAGGGGTGCGAATTCGAATTTTAATGCTATGGAATGCTATCTGAAATTAAATCAGTACCGTTTTTATGCTGATCAAATATTCGATGCGAAACAGTGTTGCGAGTGTTATTCAAAATGCTGTAAGTGAATGAGAGTGCAAAAAAAAATGCGTTGTTTTTTATTCTCACAGTGTGAGTTTTCAGTTTTTATTTTAAATAAGATCAAATTTATCCAATTTCGATTGTAATCAATCACATTCAATGCGCCATCAAAATTGAACTCATTTCAACTTCAGATGCTGTTTAAATATTACGATTTTCTTTTGCGCCGAAAAGTATGCAAAAAAATGCTGAATGTGTGTTAACAAGTCTTGTAATATAAATGGATGTGACTTTGATGTAACTGAAAAACCCCGTTTGGTTTTG